AGTTTAACCCAATTACATTCAACACTATTCAAGTTCAACACCGATAAACAAGTGAGCCAGAATTTATCATGAAAATTGAGTTGAACCAAAAGCAAAACTGACCAATCAAATCAAAAACAATTGACCATCCTAATTGATTTTAATGGATGGTCATCTCTCTCTCTCTCTCTCGCTAGCTTTGTCTACTTGTTCAGGAAAAATAATTCAATAAAAAGTCATGATATAAGTTGATTATTTTAACCATGTATCATGTTGATAATGAAAACAATATATTTATAATATATAAATAGTAACATTGTTATATAAAAAGCTAAATGGACTGTGATAATAAGACTGACTGGTCACACTATATAACAGTTAATACTTGAACATTGGATGAGAGGTCAAGTTCAATAATGACCAGTAAAGCTAAGTGATGATGATGATGAATGTAAAAGATGAGGATGATAAAGTGTACAGATGAGATGAGAAGGAGGAGAAAGGGACTTTACCCCTCCAAGGTTGAATACCATGTAAAGACCATTCAGTTGTCAGTAAAGAAAAGACTTAAGATGAATTTGAAGTGAATTCGGTTACAGGAAATTCGTTGTCAAGGTGATATTCTAAAGTAATAGTTTTTCCACTACCTTCATCGTCTCATCATCATCATCATGTAAAAAGAAAAGAAAATGAGAAAGATAATGAGAAGAGAAAAAAAAAGAAAGTTCTTAAGTTCTAAGTGCAAGTTCTAACTTCTTAATAGACTATCAAAGTGAACAAGTTAATCACTATAATTAGGTTCTTACCATTAATCCATGAAATGAGGCTGATGTAAGATGATTCTGGACATTGATTATGTTGGGGTAGTGGGTAAGTGAAGGGTGGGATAGTTGCCATAAAGGGAAAAGGTAAAAGGTGTAAGAGAGACAAAAGATCTGATATTGGAATTGGAAAAGATGCTCTTAATTATTCCCACCGGGCGGGTTTCCATTGTAACATCAACAGAATTTCATATACAAGACATTATATCTTTTTCTCCCACCGCTTCTTATTATTAAACCTTTTTCCATTCCAATATACAAAATCATTTGTATCTTCATGTTATCCAAATGGGGAGAGATAAAAATATATACACCATGAAATTAACCGAACTAAGAAGACGATAAAATTGTGATAACTCTGATAGCATAAATGATAATAACAATAACGATCATGATGATTACTACTCAGTAACAGTCAATTGAACAATTTGATTTTCATCATGATCATAATGATGTTAGTGATAAAAACAGGTAACAATATAAATCAGTTCATTTGATTATCTCATGTATATATCAAGAAGACTGTTTGAAATTGATTGTGAACGAAAAGTTTACCATTAAATGATCAGCTAATTATAATTGATTTAAATTAACTCTCTTTATATTCTGAATGAATTATTGACAAATGTCCATTTTTAATTGTATCTGTTAATTGCTATATCGTAATTTAATTGCACTGGCTGACAATTAACTTACAATGAGTAACGTTCAATAATATTTCATATTTAATGATTATCATTTGTGTGTGTCTCAGTGTTAACTCCCAATTGTAAATTGTTTCCCTTGTTAATTGCTAGCAATTTATTTTTCTTGCTTTCACATACACATAATTGTGTATAGAAATTAGCTAATGTCTTAACCATTCAAATTTCATTTGCAAAAATTACTCATTGATTACCATGATGATGGTGACGATAATTATCACCATCATGAATGAATTAATTACTACCACTTGAACTAACTCGATTCAATTTAATTTCTTAATTTGTAATAGGAAAAAAAAAGTTCAAGGAAAATAATTGAGTGTAGATGAGTGAGAAAAAAAGTTTATAAAATAATAGCAATTAATTTGATTATTTGTCTTTCATGACGATGATAGTATTCAGTATCGTCATCATTATCATCATCATCATCATCATCATTAGAAATAAAAATAAATTTTGTAGACAAATAAATTGTGAAAGTTATCATGAAAACTGATAATGATAACTGGACACGTAACTGTAAGGTGTTGTTGACATTACAGGGTGGATGATGATGATGATAATGACGATACAAAATTAATATTGATCAAAAAGTAAACCAAGAAGACAAAAAGTATCTTCAATAAAAAACAATTATGAAACTTTTCCCACTTCTCACCATGAAGCTCATGGTGGACACCATTGAAATCCCATGAGCTGAAACGACTCACTCCTCGTCCAAGACTGAACACATCTCAAGCTCAATCATCATCATTATCTTCATGATGATGATTTAAGTCTTACCTCGTTTGTGAACAGTTCTCATAATATATTATTATATACAACGAATGAAACAAAAGCTGATAATCAATTAATGATCAATCTCAATTCTTTTATTATTATTTATTTTCATTTTATTAGTAACATGAACCCGGAAGAGGAAAAGTAGAACGGAAAAAATTGTGTCTCATTCAAAGATTTTCACTCTTATCTATTATATCAAGCGCTACAAAATTTGCTCTCAGTTGATATAATATTTCATTATACTCATGGTTACATTATCAATCCTCATGTTGATATTAGATAAACATAAGATATTGGATTTGTATTTATCTCTTTAGGCTTCAACTAACTTGAAGGATTAAATTGGTCTCCTTGTTTAACCTTTATCCCTCTCTCTTAATACATATTATTATCTTTATCATTACCTTTACCCTACAACATCAATCCCCACTCCATGAAAACCTTTCCACTTTCCCCATGTAATAATATTATTTGGTTATTGTTATTTTTTTTCTCAGGTAAAATTGTTGTTATTTCTTGTTTATTGTTATCTCAAGTATCCAGAGTAAATATTTACTCTAATATTGGATATAAACTCATGAAAATTGCTTCTCAATCCGATAGAAGATAAAAAAAAATACAGATCGAAGTTGATATGCTGAATAGGTGAATGATTGAGGAATAAAAGAAAACTTAAATCTTGGAATTGAGAGTATGAAAAGTTGAGTAAATTTTAATAAAATTCCCGAACCAAGAACTAGAATCATGGTTATCAATAAGTTATCTCTTTAGACCCTCAGGGTGGATAATCTAACTCATCCTCTCTCTCTCTTCATGTTTTTTTTGATATGATCAACATTTACTTACTGATTAATGTTTACTGTTTATTGAGTAAATGAAAATCAAATCAATTAAATCAAATATCAAAAACTATGGTCAAAAATTGTGAGAAAATAATCTCAACCCACCGGTGGGTATTTTGTTCAATATACAGAGAAACTTTTTTTTTTACTCTTAAAAAACTGACCACTGAGTCTCTTTGTTTTTCTCATATTGTTTATATTTACTTTTGATTCAATTTCTAAGATTATATCAAACATTTTTATTATCATCTACTGGGAGTGATTTATATTTATTTCTGGGAATTGAACCATGAAAATAATAAGAAGTGATTTGAATTTTACAATTTTCTTAATGTAAATTCAATGGAAAGTAAAATTTGATCATCTTATTTTAATGTCGATGAGAAAACAAAAGTTAAATTATTGTTATTATGATAATTTAACTTATATAAGCAATTAACTCTCATGGGAGTAATTTCAAGATTCACATTTATTTACATTGGATGGAGACTGAGGCAAAAAGTGAGAGAGTGAAAATGGAAAGGTGAATGAGTAGATGAAGATGAAGATAGTAAAATGATCAACTGGACTTTCGTAATATGTTGAAATGGATCATCAATCAGTGGAGTTAAGTAAATGGTTTCAAAAGTTCATGTGAGAGGGTGGGAATAGTTAAATGAAGAAGCATAAAGATGAGGATGCTAGAGAAGTGGATAATTCAGTGTTCCCTTTGCTCACATTGTTTGTGTCTCTAATCTCACGAGGGAATAGGGCTAAGAATGAAGAGAAATTGGAGATGATGAACGTGGAGATGAAACAGTGAGTGGAATTTTTCCCACTCTGACACTCTCTCCATCTCTCTCTCTCTCTCTTTCTCTCTCTCTTCCTTTTCATGATGTAAATCTATTAAACATCTTCATCTCTCCACTTCCTCTTTTACCTCCTCCTCCTACCACCTCATTTGACTTAATTGCTTAATAAATAACCAAACTGGATTCAAATCAACTTCTCAATTAACGTACCACTCCATCAACCCCACCGCCATCACCATCACCACACCCACTGCCATTATCATCATTATAATTATCATCTTTATCTTCATTTTCTCTTGTTTAAACTTCTGATTGAGAGTCTTTAGTCTCTCTCTTTTCCTGGTCATTTAATTTGATAGAAGATAAAACATTTTATCTTCCTCTTTCTGCTTTTTATCTTCCCACCTCCCAATACCAACTCCTCTTTGAAGCTTTAAAAACATCAACACTTTCATTGAAACTTGTCCTGAGGAAGAGCGAGTAAAAAAACAATCATCCAAGTCAAATTACCAAAAACTGCTTACAATGAATTTTCATCTTCTTTCAGGAAGTTGAGAATCATTTTCATGGTGGTAACCATGAGAGGAAGAGAGAGAGAGATGAGGAAGATGAAAAATGTAACCATCTTAAACAATGAGTTCACTGCAAACATCATAATCATATTAATGGAGGATTAATAATATTACTCATACTTATATGAAAATGTTATTATTAATACAATAAGAGATGAGATTGAAATAATACCCACCATGAAAACTTCCCTCAGTAAATCTGAGGTTAATATGGTCACAACTTTCATTTTTATTCAGATTAATGAATAAGTTGAGTAAATTTTACATGATAAACATACAGATGATGATGATAATGATGAACAACATCAACATTGCACAATCAATCATAATTATTCAATTAATTAAACCAGCACCCTGTATATTCAGATGCAAAGTGAATTTTTAACATGAAGAACTGAAATAAAGTTCAACAATATCAGAAAAAAAACCCTTTCAAAAAGAGTTCCAGATTAATGACTCTTGTTGGTAAACTTTTTTTAAAATAATTTTCTTTGTCCTTTTTGTCCAGATTGAACATGATGCTCAAAAAAGCAAATGGACTTTCGAGTATTTCTTGGCATTTTCGACTGGTCAATGTAATTCTTCACGTGATGACCACAACACTGATCATGTATATTTCACATTCAATACTAAATTGTACCAATCAAATGTCACTTTTAATTTCACTTCACTTTGCCCTTCACCCGATTCACACTGAAGCTGTAAGTTGATTTTTCACCAATGAAAAGATAATTTCAACCAAAGAACCATGAACATGATTTCCTACCTTTTGTATTGATCTATTAATATTTGTTCATTCTCATGGTTATATAAATTCAGGTTTCAAGTAACGTTGGAAGAGCTGATATCCTGTGTTGTATATTTTCATTGATAACGTTAATCATTTTCACCAGGTAATGTAAACAATTTTGGCTGATCATAATAACGATAATAATATTATAACTGAATCAACTGAAGATAAATATATGCATGTAAACCCAGTTAATTGTAAACAATCAAATCATGAAAGATGATCATGATAATCCACAGAATTGAGAATTGATTAGATTCCTTTTATTATTATTAGCACGCTCACACCAGGGATTAATTTTACCTTAGCTAACACTCTTACTCTCATCATCATTTCAACTCTGCATGATACTTTACTCAATAATATGCTGAACTTTCAGAGTTGCTGATAACTTTGAAGCAGAAAAAAACAACTTCAACAGGGAGAAACTCATCCAATTGTAACTATCATGATAACTTTATGATAAGATTGCGTGCTATTAGCATAATACTGATCTCATTTTAAATGAATATCAGATTTATTCAGTATCATGTTAACTCATGACTCTAATTACACCATGATTATCACTGAATTCTGATAATTGGTTAGATCTTGTTACGAAAAGTAATATATATCGAATGAAGAAAAAAAAACTTGCCAAAGAAAACTCCGAATCTTATACACCTAATATCACGTTAGAATCATTAGTTTATGGAAAGAGCATTTTTCCTCAGTGTTCATGGAATTGATAGGAATTGAAACTTTACGTGTGCATTATGATTATTTATGAATGTCTAATCATTTCGACAAGAATCTCAATGGAAACAAAAATTTACTAGTTCTAACCAATGATCTTATTTCCTTATCCTTTAGAGCTGTGAAGTTTATGCTGGAAGATAAAAGTAATCAAAGGATGATAGTCTATCTCTTTTGGTCTTGCTTATCATCCACTTTGGCATTACTTTCAAAAGAAACTGGAATCATGATTCTACCGATTTGTACTCTCTATTATATCTTCAAATTGTCCCAATCAGGGTCACTGATCATAACTCGGAAAGGGTGAGTATCCATCGTAACGATTTATTGTCATCACAAGATTAGAAAATGTCTTTCAACTGGTCAACTTCAATAATTCATTTCCATGTTGATAACAACTCAACTTTTACTAGATAAATTGGATTCATAAATCATTACCATGAATCATTTCATGATATTGTAAAAAGAAAAGACTATCAATTTTCAGAACAACAATTTCAGCCAATTTCAGTTTATCACCATGAACATCAAAATAGCAAAGAGAAAGCAATTGATTATCATTTGTTGATCATAGAAGTTGAAAAAAAAAGTCAATCATATTGATGATACTAAACATGAGAATGTTAATCAGATGCTGATGTAAATTCATTGACCGAAATTGTTATCAAATATTCAACCGATCCACCGATTCAACTTAAAGTTCATTATCGTGACTCCACAATAACTTTCACTGGAAATTATCATCCAATAAGTTCACGAATATTAATTTACTAGGTAACGGTAAATAAATCATTTTGATACATTCGTTTTCATATTGTTTTCTCATTCACTTCCACTATAACTGATTAACAAATTTTTCTGTTTACATGGAAATTGAAAAATGAATGAAAATGAGGTGAGCTGAAATGTATTGAGAAAGCATAAAGAAAAATTAGAAATTAATATCCATAAGTATTAATAAATCTTGTATCAACATGATACTTTGTATTTATCACGAATCCTGAGAAAGAGCTGAAACTAATAAAGTTCAGTTGAAAAAAATATAATATATACACCAAGGTATTCATAATGATGAAGGGGAAGTCGAATCATATTTTACTCTCATTTTAATCATAATTATTTACTATGTAAATACTGAATTGAGGGGGAATATAAACTAATTTCAAATATTAATTCGCATGATGATAATTATTATGTCAAAGGAGTTGTAATAAATGTCAGGGAGGCTGAATTGATCATGATAGAATACAGAATATATATTGAGAATTGGAAACTTTTTTTTCTCTCCTTCTTTTGTTTTGTAAAATCACTTTCACTTTCTGTATCTCTCTATGTCTATGATTAATCTTTACGAAAAGGGATTAGAATTGATTAATCACCATGGATTAACTTGGTCAAGCTGAAGGGAAAATAATTTCCACTTGTTAATCCAACTTATTGTTAACTTGATTATCTTAGTAGATTGAAATTTAAATTGAATCAGAAATTGGAAATTCAATAGCCATCAAAAGCATATTAATAAGGCTTGATTGATTTTCTTCCTGTTCATCATCATTATGTACAAAACTCTCATTGTTCATATTCATTTAAATTCATTCAGGAAGTGTAACAATAGGTAATTCATTTCCTTATGAACTTTTGTTCAGTTTGCTGAAAATGGTAGGAAAATATTACTCGTAAACTTTAATCTAAATTAGAAAGTTTGAAAGATAATTAAAAATGGAAAATTAATCCATTTCAATCATCCAATTGGTCAAATTAATCTGTTCAATGGTCATTCTAATAGTCTCAGTGATTGTCCAGTCTAAACAAAAGTAAAAGGTACAATTGAAATATTTCAATCAATCTTGAAGCAGATTATAAGTTAATCAGCTGTAACTTTCCCAGGAATTCATTTTGATTGAGTTAATATAAATGCTATGGTGACTTAATATGAGATAATGAGATTATGATTTATGATGAAAAAAGCAACATAATAATAATAAACAAGCATTAATATTTACACCAAGGTAGAAAAAATTACAAGACAATAATGATGAAAAAGTTCAGTTGAGTTGAATATTTGTCAGGGTGTCGAAGTAAAAAAAAAATAATCATGAGGAAAAAAAATTCATTCAACTGAATATAAAGACTGAACTGAGTTGAAATCAGTTTTTGTTTATTTTTTCCCATGAACAAAAAAAACTGCAAATTAAATTGCGGTAAATTGATGATAATCAAGTAAATGATGATTATGATGATGATGCAGAAAAAAATGAAACCTCAGTGTGTAAATTGCATTAACGGTGATAAAAAAAACCTCACCTTGCAATTGAATTTGCAAAAATATCCCTTACCTTTGCAATTGAGATTAGTTTTCACAATGGTGACAATATTTTACCTTTTTTTTGTCTTGATAATACTTTGGATGAATAAAAAAAACTTACTTAGGGATTTTCATGGTGAAATTTGCATTAATCTGAATGTATTAGGACAGTTTATTTGCAAATATATTGTATAACTTTGCAGAAAAATGGATCCGTTCATTTGTATTGGGCAAACATTATTCACAATCTTTATGGTGGATAAGTGATATTTATATTCACTGGGAGGGTAAATGGAGAGAGAATTTGAATTCTGAAAATCCTCAGGAATGATAATATTTTCCTATCCATAGATTAACCATTACAGATTGTTTTTACTAATGCATACTCTTCAGAAAATGTAATACCCTCTACCACTCTAATACACACCTTCAGGATATGAATGTATTCATGATAACTCTCAATTCATATGAATATTTGTCTAGATTTGTGTCAATTTTGTTCATATGGCTGCTTGTTGCTGGCTTGGAGATGCATTTGTTACATTAAAGTTCAGGGGATAACATGAGGAAAATTTTTATTTCTGTTCTATTTTAAACTTTTTCTTTCACTTTATTTTCAAGACCATCACGATCAACAATCACCTCACCTTCAGTAATGATTCAGGTGATCTATGAAAAAGATATACAAGGAAATACTATTTTCTTGCTGATCAAATATATAAATGATTATTTATTCATTTGGAACCATAGACAATGTTTGGTGTATATAAATAAGTGAATGCAAACATTGTTTCAAAAGTTTTTCCTCAATTTTCCCATGGATCATGATGATGGTTCAATGATTCAATCAGTGAATCCTTTTGAAAATTTTGAGAGACTGAAAAAAACAAAAGGTCCTTTCAAAACCTACTCCCAATGAAGGAGGAAATTTATTTACTCCTCTTGAATATTTTATCATCATTCTAATTCATTATCCCTTTATTTTCTCCATCATCATGATGATCATGTTTTATGAAACTTTTCATTGTGAGTTAATTGAGATTCAGTTCTGTTCATTGTTTCCATGGTATGGGAACCTTTTTCCTCTTCTTATTGTTTCTCAGTACATTCAAAACTTTTTTTATCCCTCTGTCTCGATTTTGTTGATTAAGCTTTCAGCTGGTTTATTATAATAATACAGGGCATTTCACCAAGCTTCCTACAAGTTTTTCTTATTAAACTTTTTTGTTTTTGAGTGTTCAGACTCGAGTTATGGTAGTTTAGGCCATACTCCATTGTCATATTAAATATCAAGGTCATTCCGGTCATTTTGTTAGGATACAGTTTCAAGGTCATTTGATGATCACAGTCGATTCAAATTTAAAAAACCAATATGAACCTAAATCATAAAGATTTCTCGACTTTCAAACTCTCAATGTCCCTTAAACCTAAACCGACCTAACCTAAACCTTCCTATTACTCATTTTCAATTGCCAACTCAGTTTACAAAATCTTGCAGAGTCGCAAAATGAATACTCAACAAGAGTCAGGTTGTCTTTTTACTCCATGAATATGCAATATAAATGTTTATTTACTACTTGCTTACAACCGTCAGGAACATATCCCAATCAATTGGCATCTAACCTAAACCTTCCTATCCTTCCTAACCTTTTTTAATTTAAATCAATTGTGATCATCAAATGACCTTGAAACTGTATCCTAACAAAATGACCGGAAAGACCTTGATATTTTAATATGACAATGGAGTATGGCCTAAACTACCATAACTCGAGGCTGGTGTCTAAACACTCAAAAACAAAAAAGTTATTCAAGAAAAAATTGTTGGAAACTTGGTGAAATGCCCTGTATATAAGCCAACTTAGAGTCTAAATTGTTACCATTTAATTGAAAAAAGTCTTCAATGAGTTAATCCAATTAACTATTTAAGAGGGTTAAAGGTTAATTTATTGCAATTAAACTGTTTCATGTAAGAAGATAAATCTAAATAAACATGGTGATGATGATGAAAAGTCATCAGGATCAAGTGAAAGTAGGATGATGATGGGTTGATGTTAATTCATTGATTGGAAATTGAAAGTGACCTTTAATTAGTCGCTTCTTTTTGCAATTTCCTTAATTTGAATCTCTTTTCAAAGTAAATCTTTCAAACAATCAACTAAATTATTCATTGATTTTATCTAACATGATTTTATATCATCACAATTAACCAGACACAATGAAAGTGTACAATCTGATTCCATTTAATCATCACAATCTAAACTCTTGCAGTGACAAGTAATCTGATCCATTAAATATTGGATTCAATGATTATCATTATCATCAATTAATTTAGATGTATGATAATTAATGATAATTGCTCGATATTTACATTTAATTAATTGGTAAACATCTTAATGTGGTTCAAAGTAAAAAGGATTGGATCAACAAATCAAATAATCGAGGAGAAGGTAATTTAGTTACCTAACAATTTAATTCAAGAAACTTATCTTGATTTTCAGGGCTAATCATCATCAATATAATCACCACCATGATGATGATGATGATGATAAACTAAAAGGATTCAGAAAGTTCAGTGTCTTCCATCAAGTGATAACTTGAAACTCAAGATGAAATTAAACCAATGGAGGGAAAATTTTTTTCCAACCGAAAACAAATCAGTTAATCTTTCCAACCCACCATGCATTTCCAATGAAGGTGGTTACTTTTCATCTTTCTTCATCATTATCATCATCATCATCTCTTTTTCTAATCATCAATATATTTTGATAGAGAGAGAGTTACCTTTATCGTCTCTCTCTCTCAATCATCATGGATTAGATTTGTAACTTGAAGAGATACTTTAAGACTTTATTCTTGGAGATAAAGTTCTGGAACTGAACTGAAGCATTATCATGATGATTTTCATCAGGAACCATTTACTTTTCTCTTCCATGGGATTTACTGAGTTTCTCCTCCTACTCTTTCACTCTTTATTTCTTGATGATGATTCTGATTCTGATGATGTTCCATGTTCCATTCTGATCACATTCTCATAAGCACATATAAGCATTAAGAACACTAATTTAATTCGCTCTCTTCTCTTTCCAAGATGATGAAAAAAAGAGAGATTTTCAATGAAAGAAAGAAAAAAGAAAGAGAAAAAGTAAAAGGTTCGAAATTAATAGTTTGATCGTTATCTCTTCTATTTTTCGAGAGAGAGAGAGAGAGAGAGAGAGAGAGAGAGAGAACGATTCTAAATCTTCAATATCAACAATTTAGTCAACTGAATGTTCGGGGTAAAGTTTTGATAAACAATCAAAAGATTAATCCAAATCTTTATTCATCATGACATTTCAAATGAATCGTTATGATCACTGAATTAACTATTAACTTGATCATCAGAATCGTAGTGATCATCATTATCTTTCATCGTAATGATTATCATCCTCATCATCAGAAGTGTTATCATCATTATCCTTTTATAAAAGTAAGTATTATCACCTGATGATCAGAATGTACCAAAGTCAACAGCATTTTAATGAAACCAAAAGGCAATTAAGTTAATTGTGATTAATTTTCATCTACAAAGCTACAATTAACTCTTGGTTGACTATCTACATTGATTAAATGATTTTTCAACCAACACATTATCAATCAACAATCTGAAAGTTTAATCAAGCAAAGTGTTGATTAGATAATCAACTTGTAATCAGATTCACAATTTTAATCATCTTAAGACAATCAATGTTTTTCTAATGAAAAATCAATGAAAAAGAGTTCTGATTAAGGACAAGAATTATAATCTATTCCCATGATAATATCGCACTTTTACTTTATGATGTACGAAGATTCAAATAAAACATAAGAATAAAAGTTGACTGAAGTTTGAAAGTAGAAAATATTCCTTCTGGAGAGCATCTTGTTAGCATTTCGAACAAAAAAAAGTTCAAAGGCTGGTCTTGAATTCTGAAGGAGATAAATATGTATGATAAACAGCTTGACACTTCGAACATCATGACTTTGTCTCATATTATTCGGATTCCATGTAAATGTTTCCCATGTTTCTCTGAATTAACATGATTTTGCTTTTCCAAAAACAATGGAAACACCAAAGATCTTTGTCATTACCATGATCAACTGAATAACTACAACAAAGTCCAGAATTTTCAATAACCTCAACTTATTTTTGCATATGAATAATTTTCTCACCTTTGACCCTTTTCTTTTTCTTGTTGATGACTAAACATTAAAGCTCATGTAGCTCAGAAGCTGAACTTTTTTTCACACTTTTTTTTGTTCCTTTGAAAAAAACAGAATCAACTTGTCCTATTGTAATCAACCTGATGGAAATTTATCTTCATCAATTTATTACACTGAAAGTAAATCAAATTATTCATCTTCCTCATCATCATCGCGATCATCATCTCCAACACCATCAACATCATCCTCATCATCATCAACCTCCTCCACATCATCATCATCATCATCTTTCAATCCCTGGTTATATGGACCAATATTAATACCTACGATCATGGTAAATATTTTGAAAACTTTTTTTCCCTGAAAATTGATACCTTTTCATACTCAATCTAATGGTAACTCATCATCATCATTTATCCTCAGCCTCCTCCTCCTCCTAACATGATGAAGATAATGATTTCAGCATTGAAACATTTTCCTTGTCACAATTTCCATCCACTCTCTCAATCTTTTCCCACCCTCCACAAAAATTATCAACACATGTAAATAGATTTCATGTTATTACATTTAATATCCACTCGAAATTTATGATATTGCAACTTTTTTTGCTCCTTCTAGAATACAGATTAATATATATACTTTTCGTATTATTATTACATGTATTAGCTTTTTTTCATACTCAGTCATTTCTTTTGTCATGATGATGGAGTTTTTTTTTGCATTCCCTGTCACCATGTTAACCCTGTATGTTTGTTAGCTTATTGTCACCCAAATATCAATCTCATCTGAACAATATTATCATCAGCATGACAATATATTGATTGAGCTTTTGGTGTCATTATTGAATCATCAATCAAACTCATAACCTTCTCCTACGAGTCTTCTGGTCAAGAATAATTTTCACAAATTCGAGAGAATGAACTTTTTTTTCCCTTCCTTTCAAATAAATAGAGAGAAAATGAAAGAAAATATTGTTTAATTTTCTTCTAATCTGGAACTTAGCTAACTCATGAACACCATGATTCCAAAGATAAACATGGAAACTTTGATAATAAGAAAAAGATTATCAACAAAGTTTAATCATTTTCGAATTTTATTTTATTTTCATTCTTTTTTAATCTTTTTCTCTTCTTTTTCATTCTCTTCGAATTTCTTTAGACTTTAGCCTTACTTTGGTTTCGAATCTCAATGTTACATGGAACTCTACCAATTTTTTCTCGGCAAGATAATCCCGCTTCTTTTTCAAATTCCATGTTAACAAGGCAAGTTTATCACAGAATTAGGAAACTAATTGAGATCAAATTGGATAAAAAATTAACTTTTTTCTTTTCGAATTTTGTTTTGAAAATTTTTTTCTCTCTTCAATCCAACCACAAATAGATTCTTGACTTATTCTTACCTTTGTGCTTTCAACTTTCGTCTACTTTTGTGTCCATCACGTTTATCTTATGATTGGCAATTGGGAAGTATACCTTTGGTCAACGATCTAATTGACGGGCGAAACTTGGAGACACTGGTCACTTTCATCTCCACCATTGGAATCATTATTATAAGCGGAAAATTTATTCTAACCCAATCTTGTTCTTGGTTTAGACCAAAGGTTAACCCGGAAGTAAAATCAATTCTTATTTTTGATAAAACATTTTCACAAAATACTAGAAAATCATATATGAAAAATTCATCCTCATCAACCACATGTAATTGCATGGTGATGGAGTTTACATCAAGCCCAACACCGAGTCCACCACCAACACCATCACCACCTTCACTGACCAATGTAAATAGCAATCAATTAATACAAACCAATAGATCTGATCATCATGAAGTTATTTTCATGGGCTTATGCTTCATGATATTACCTTATCTTCCCGCCTCGAACCTTTTGGTGACCGTTGGTTTTGTTGTCGCTGAACGTATATTATATTTACCAAGGTAAGAGAAAAAACAAAATAAATCAGTTCGCAACAATTTAAAGTGAAAATTTTAACAACAACCCAAATCATTATCAACCTCACCAGTTTGCTTGTTAAAAAACTTGTAATGTATTAATAGTTTCACAAGTTATCATGAAGATACATCATCATCTTCATGCTGATCATCACTTTAAGAGTGGTCAATAGTTTCATGGTAACATGAATGACTAGAGAGAGAGAGAGAGAGCCGTTCGATACAAAAAAATTGTCTATATTTGTTTCCAATACTTTTCACTTATCATGATGATAACCAATTATTATTTCACTCCCACTTGAAGCATATCGAGCATTATTTAACACGCAACAAGATTTTTTCAAGAATATCGGTAATATTATTGAAAATTACATATTATCGTTTAGAGGGTGGGAGATACAGTTTATCAAGAGGTGGGAGGAGGTTTTCTCATGAAAAATATTCCCCCATCATCATCATGTAATTTGATGATAACCATTTGACTCATGCATGATAAGAGATGTGCAACATGCAATATGATTAACTTACTTCATGAAGGTAGATGAACATCAGTTTAAAATGCAGGATGAGAGAGAAAGAGAGAAAAAGCGTAAAAGAGAGAGAGAGAGAGAGAGAGAGAGAGAGAGAAAGAGAGACTGAGTAAAGTGAGAAAAAAATGGCAAATTCGAAATTCAAAATTTGAGAAAAAATAATGAATTACAGTTTAACATGGAAAATAAAATGTCAGGGTGAATCAAAGTGACCTTTCCCTCTTATGGTCAGTTGATTTTCAACAGACATTAAAAAGTTTTATGTTTAAAGAGTCAATGGTCACTCGAAAAATAGTTAATAGTTTTTAAATAAACTCGATGCTGGACTCGAGTGAGTTAATTAACTTTCACCGGTTAGATGGTGAAAATAACGGAACCAATTCAAGTGGAAGATTAAACAATGTAACATGAATGAATCTCCGTTATCTGAATTTAGATTTTTTCCCTTACATTCTGAACCTTTCTGAATCTGCTCGATTTTTTTGCGAATTTTATCTTGTCAACTATTCTAAAATATTAATAGCTTATGAATCGTTCTCAAATCAATCCCTTGACATTCAAATTAACTGCAATTAAGGTGAAAATCCAACTGGAACCTCGATGTATTTGTGTGTAAATTATTTTCTCCTTGCATGATTAAAGTAATTTACATTTACCATTGAATAATATCATTACCATTATCATCATCATCTCCATCATGACAGTCATCATGAAATTTACTGAATTAACTGATAGTTAACAATATAAACCAGTAATCACCAATTTGATCACTAATTTCAGATTACGATTAGCAATTAACTTATAACCACGAAGATAGTAAAATTATCATTATTGTAATTACTTTAAATTGACTTTAATTATTGTATGTAAATCCAGATTAGTAGGGAGATAAAAAAAAAATAACCAATGTAAAAGTTTTAATTGTAATTGTAATTGTGTTTTTGATTAAATCAAACAATTACTAATTGATGCTCATGATGATCATCATTATTATTGTCAACCAGTTTGATTTGCTTTCAAATGATTGACTTTTGCTGTAACAATGTTTCAATAATTAATTGCTAGTTAATTGTTTGCTAATGATAACAAACGGTTTCTCTAATCAGCTGATAATTTATTCAGTGATTAAACATGATACAAATTGAAGTAATCAATTGATTATTCTCATGATAATATGATTAACTTGGAAACTGTAGTGAGACATCAATCATACAGATTGAGATTTAATCGTGTAACTGATTAACTGAAAATTCATTGAAAATGGTTAACAATTATTCACATTCTTCATTTACTAAGTAAGAAACTAATCAAATTTTTTTCTCTTTCAATTCTTCCAATTCAATCAACCACACCATGGATCTAGTGTCGGATTTAGCTTGCTAATCATAGCGGGATATGATCTGATTAAACAACAGATTCAAACTAGATCAAGATTTAATCAGGTTAATCTATCAAAGTGGCTTACAATTGCTTTCCATAGTGTCCTAATTGCTTTCATGGTGAAAACAATTTCTCAAAATTGTCTATGGCAAAATCGAGCCTCACTTTTCACGTAAGAATACATTTCAGATTTGACCCTTTTGACCTCTAATATTCATGACCCTTGACCATTACACAGAGCTGGACTATTGGCTGCCCCTGAGAATGCAAAAATGCATTACAATTATGCAAACTTACAGAAAGACATAGGAAACAACGAGGCTGCAGTTTATCATTATCGTGAAGCATTAAGGTGAGTTTCATCATGGAAATTGAATAACAACTGAATTCAACAAATGAACATTTCGAAAATTTAATTTCACTCCAATTTCTTATTGTAATTTTATCAATTGGAAATAGACTATGGCCAACCCATGAGAGCTCTTGGAACAATTTAGCTACCCTGTTACCTGATCCGGAAGAAGCTGAATATCACTTAATCCAAGCTCTTAAAATTAATCCATACCATCCAAAAGCTCATTTTAATCTCGCATGTATATACAGGTAAGAATGAAACTTGTGGTCATCAGAATAATAATAATCATCATGATATTAGAAACAATCAATCTCAAGGTTTCATTAGAAATGTTAATAAATAATCATCAGTTAATCAGCTGATGCGAAAGCAGAAAATTCAATAATAAGAATAGACTATTAATGATATACAATATTTATCCAATAAAAGAAGCAAAAAATAATAATATCAACATCAATTACTATCATCATCATATCTCATCAACATTATCATCACATAATATATAAGATACAAATGATAATCATCATTGATACAGTTTATCATCATCATCATCATCATCATCCAAGTGTATTAACAGTAAATCAGATTTATCTTGAGGATAAGTTTGAGTGTAAATCAGATTAAACAATCAACGGGTGTAAATCATAACAATTGCTAAATTAAATGATATTAATAAGAAAGATAAGATAATAGATTTTATATTTTTTCTGCTCACGAGTATTTCTCATCCTCATCATTATCCCTCATCCTATTTTATCAACAATAAAAATAGAAATACATTTATACAGATTAACAGGAAAATAGATCAGAAATAAATAAGACCAATGATGAAAATAATAACTCAATGGATAAGCTAATTAATAATCAATAACAAAAGGCTCAGGAGATAATTACTGATTCAATTACTGTTAATAGACAATTAAGATGATGATGCGTGATAATCAATTGATTTAATTATCATATAATTCAATCTTATAACTGGAAACTGGGTCAAGATTGAGAGAGAGAATATCTTTACATCGAGTTGATAGAGTTCAATTGTAATCAGAAACTGAGAGAATTCAAATTAACATGAAAGTTATCATGAAACTCTGGATCATAAATCATCAACAATCATTAACCGGAAATAATTAATTTCCATATTATGTTAATTTATCAAATTTTTTGATTCGAATTTTTTTCTTTCTCATTTTTTTTTCTTCTCTTGTCTTCCTCGGCGTTACCTTTACATTATCCAACACACACTATTAATATATTAATACCATGTAACAGTAAAAAAGGTTTAACCAGTCAGGCGATTAATTTACTTCAACGAAGCATTGAATTGGATTCCAATTTTCCTGAACCTTATTCATCGTTGGCAACAATTTACGCTGAGAAGGGTTTACATGGGTACGCTCAATCGTTACATGAAAAATCACTCAAACTTTTATCCTTAGCGAATCAATTTGAATATTAATAAATAAAAAAAAATATTAACAGAGAAAAAAGTAAAATAAAATAAAAACTTTACCTCTTTTCATATTGAGAAACAAAATGAACAATATCACCTCACATTCAATTATTTATGAAACAATTGTCACGAAGAGATTTCGATTAACCAGTAATCAGGCTTGTGGAGGTGACGATCATGCAATTATCTTTTGAATTGGATCATAAGCTGCCATCTATTAACATTATTGGAGATCTGGTTCGTTCAGAGTCTGAGTGTTTTAATTGTGATGAAATTTTTTGGTTTCCACTTGGAATGAGAGTAGTTGATTTAAAATGAATATGAAAACAAAACAAATTAACAAAAGATCAACTTTTGACTATAAAAGGTTAAGGAACAATAATAAATTTCTAAAAACAATTAAATGCAAAGTATTTTACAACAATTTGAATTGTACATGACAGGTAAATGGTCAAAGAATTTGTGGTTAAAAAAGTATATAAAAAAATAGAGTGATTTGAATAAAGATAATTGATTTGTGTGTTTGTAGTTATCATTTGGAGAAATTTCCGTTTCCAGACTAGGATTTGAAAGCAATAAGAGTATCGGGATTTGGAGCTTGTTTACTCTCTTTTCGTGTTATTTTCATCCTTGACCATTCGAGATGCTTTTGAATGAACAATTTATACAGATGAGATGCTGGAGCTTCAACAACCAGATGAGCCAAAAGAGCTGCAAATGAGCTTAACGTAAAATTGACAATGAATTCACATAACTGTTAATAAAGAAAGAAAAAGAAAAAATCAATTTATATTCAATCAATTGAATAATAAAATACTAATTACCATAGTATAATGACCAAAAGCAAGTCTTTCACGGAGATATGCATATCTCCACCATAGAATTGGAAAGTGTAACAAATAAATCATGAAACTTAATTTTGCCAGTGGGACAAATCCTTTCCAGGAAAGAAAAGTATTGATCATACCTGTAATTGAAAAAGATTGAAAAATTGGATAAATCATCATGAAACTTTGAAATTTTAATATTCTCATCATTTTATGAGCTCTTACCTCCATTATCAGTGACACAAGCAAATATAATCCAGGCGATACAAATTGACCAACAGGTTCGATGGAAAGTTGCATAGAAACCGGCTGATAGCGGTGTCCACTCATTTCCGATATTCCAAGTGTAAGTATAAAATAAAATGGTAACAAGACCAGAGATTGAGAGTATCCAACAGGTCAAGCAAATGGAAAATGGAATGACCATATTCCTCTTATAATAAATAAGAAATCCAGCAATAAGACCTACACAATATGGACCAAGATGAATGTAGGTTGGAGTATAAATTGAAAGGGCAGCGCCATCGGTAATCACTTCGGACGGTGAATTGTAAATAACAGTTGGAGCAGCTGATTGGAAATAAGTGAATGAAAAAACGGTAATCATGGAGATGAAAATCAATCCATAGGGTAACCATAAGGCTTTGGATCCATACCTATGAATAAAGATTAAGAAAGCAGAAATTGAAATTGATCAAAATATGTTAAATGTTGCTATTGATTGGTCAACTTACTTGTAGAATACAATTAATGATAAAATGCAAACAAGATACAATTGCATATCAGCAGCAATATACCAAGTATGAAGCATACAGATTTTAGCCTCAGGAAACCAATTGTTGATGAAGAAAACTGTACCCCACCAGTAATTGTTACACTTATCAAGTTGATAATCAAAATATTCGGACCATAATGGACCAGAGCCGATGGCAGGTATTAAAAATAGAAGAGCCAAAGTAAACCAAACGGAAGGAGAGAAACGGATAAAACGGTTCAGAATCATTTCGAGAACATTGATACGACCTGATCGGTGTAATGATCCAAGGGTAGTGTAGATTGCGAGTAAAGCACCGATACAGAAAAAGGTATCAACTAGAACCCAACCATTGAGAATAAATTGAAATAGAAAACTTTCAACAGCGAAAATGTAACTACGAGCAAAAGCGAAAGTTTCCTTAATTGGTATCAGGTAAGTGTGAGTATAGACAATCCAAGACATGGAGATAACTCGTATTCCATTGATGGCATCAAGAGAACCCTTTCTGGTTCGAGTGTCAAGTAGCATTGATAAATTTCGAGGGATCGAAAAGGAAATCAGAAATGAATAGAATAATTGATCAGAGCGTACAGCTGAAAATGATCGAATTTTAACTTTTTCTACTGAATCGGATAGTTCAATAGTTCTTGAGCTAATAATATCAAACATGGTTCCAAGTAAAGTAAAGAAAGAAAGACATCCAAAAACCGTTAAAATGATTATCTGAAGTCCATCGAATTGAAAATTTCTCTCAACCTCACAATGAGAAACATTCGCATGCATGTGTACATCTTTCAAAGCTACAAAAAGGGAAGATAAAGACTTAAAATTAGCGAGAATTATTCAATAAAATCGAAATCGAAAACTCTTACAATAATCGATAATCTGTTCAAGATCATCTTTTGAGCACGAAGAGGGCATACAAATACCAACTCGACCAACACGCTCGTAACAAACATGAATAAGGTTTGAAATATCTTCGAGAAACTGTAATGGACAAAAGAGAAAAATAAATATTCAATGTTATAATAATAATACTTTCGATTGTTACAACTTACCGTTCCCTCGATTGGTGTGTTTGTGAAATTGAAAATTCGTGTCTGTAGATTTAAATGTTTGGGCCTGGGAGGTAGAAAGACGTTATATTGAACCATACAATATTGCCCACGAATTTGTTTCATCTCATTTGGTTTATAAGCTGAATTCATTTTATCTACTCCACCAACAGAATTGAAAACTAATGGAATGTGAAGTCCAATACACTGGTCAAAGGATCCAAAGTCAGTTATGGTTCCGTCCATCAGTCCAGCTGAAAATGGCCGACCAGTAGCATCCATCACTATACAAGTACATAGACACAGACATAATGACAGAATTAAATAGATGTAAAAGTGAAAAGAGACCAATAAAATGAACATTAGTGAACATACTCTTGAATACCCATGATTTTTGCTGTTTCATTGCACTTAGAAGTTGATAAAGTGTTGATAGACAAGGAGAGCTCAAGGTAAGATGAGGAAGAATATCAATCGCTTCTCCAAGTATTGACTTTTCAAGAGAATCCACAATTGAACCAAATACTTTATGAAAAGCGAGCCAGGTAATTTTTTCCTTCTCAGAATCGGTAATTGCAAAAGACGATCCAGAATCAATTTTATCACCACCATCATAATCAATACTGTCAATCTTTTTATGTTGACTCTTTAACTTTGAAAATTTAATCTCATTGATAACAGCAGCAATGGTTGACTTGATAAACTCTTTACCAGAATTAAATGTTTCCTCTACTTGAGTAGATTCCTCTGAATTGGAATTAAAATCACCATCATCATTATCCTCAGAAGAAGATGAGAAAGGTAATACAATCAGAAAGCCAGTAAAAAGGAGGGAAAACCAAAACAATGAAGGTTTATACATGAAGATTGAGAGTAAAACAGTTCTCACCAAAAACCAGAGATGTTGTTGATTCTGTTGAAGAAAATTATTTAAACAAAACAATCAGCAAACAATTAACTAGAAACAGTTAACAAAATTACAATGGAAAATGAAAAAGAAAATTAAAATCAACACTTACAAAGGTTAAGTCAAGGAGAGAGAGAGACAAAAGGTAAACTCAAAGGTGAAAATTGGAAAAAGGGTTAAAGGTAAACGTGAGTGAGGAAGAAAAGAAACCAAATGAAACAATCATCACATTCTCCACTAACCTTTATACTTTTCTCTTAATCATCTAAATGGTGATAAAAAATAAGAAATAAAATTGTCATCATCAGCTGACAGAAAAAGTGACAAAAAAAAAGAGAAGAGCAGGAAAACCCAAAGAGAAATTTAAAAACCGGCAAAAGAAAAAAAATTAAAATTTTTTTCGAATTTTGTCTTACCAGTGGCGCCTCATTTTGTTCTTTTTCCAAACTAAACGTTTGATTTTTATTCTGACAAAAAATGTCAAGAATAACAAGTGAAGGAGAGTTTCCAATCGGAAAAAAAGATCTGAATACTGAAAAAAACTGAAAAGAAAAACTTGTTGGAAACATGGTGAAATGCCCTGTAGAAAAGTTTCCCGTTTTTCCATTACAAATATAAAGTAAACTTGGTCTAATATTTTATTCGGAAATTTCCGAGTTGATGATAATATTGAATTTGAATTTTCTATTGTTCATGTTAGTATCTGATTGTTTCATGATGTCTATGGACTTAAATCACATGATAGACAAATATCTGGATTAGTTTGCTTTAGAAGAGGCTGATTATTGATTCGAAGAATCTGTGAATGGATTAGAAAAAAGCGCGGTAAAATGAGTCGAAAAGAAGAAAATATTCGAAAAATGCGCCAAAAAGTTTTCTCTTCTACTCACAAATAGAAGAGAATTTTTTTTGCTTTCGAAAAATAATTTTTCTCTTCTGGAGTTAATTCGGTTTACTCAGTCTCTCTTTTACTTATCTTCTCTCTCTCTCTCTCTCTTTTTCATCTTCTCTTCTCTTCGAGTTTTCGTTTACTTTTGATCATCTCAGTCGATATTTACTGTTAACCAGTGGTGAACCTAAAAAAGAATCATCATCATCTTCATCTTTCTCTCCTTTCTCTCCTTTCTCTCCAGAAGCTTCATCTTTAGCTTCCATCTTCCTAATGTGATTTCATTTCTCTCTCGTTCTCTCTCGTTTTCTCTCTCACTCCTTCTCTCTAATTGCTGTTATATCATAAATTGTACAGAAAAACAGAAACAATTGTTGATTGTGTTCCTTTTTTTTTCTTCTTATTCTTTAATCTTGTGATTTGTTCTCTTTCTCTGTTAATTTTGTTCTTCTGTTGATTTTCATCAGTCTTTTCTTTTTTTTTCTATTCTTCACCCGGATTATTCATCTCTCGTTTGATATTCTATTTGTCTAAATTTTTCTTATCTGTTAGATGTGAAGAGACAAATCAATGTGCCTAAAAGTTACCCACAGACCCATCCGATATGATGATGATGATAACAATTGTGTCAATGTTGATGCCGATCTCGTTGATGATTGTTCACTGTTCATTGTGTTGTCTATCATTATTATCTTTAACTCTGCTCATGATACCCTCAGGCTTTGCTCACGATTGGCAAGCCTACAACAGTGGATATCAAGGTGACCAACCATATAATTACGATGAAGGGTAAGTTATCTAATCTTTTGATACCTTTCTCCCTCTCTATCAGTGATTACCTTCAATAAATGACAATCAATTACCTAACAATCATCACCATTAATCAAAAAAACGATCATTAGTTCAATAACCAATAAGTTACATTTCTTATACACATCAACTACAATTCAATTCTGCTCACTGATTGATTAATATATTCAAATATTTGTCTCCTCATATTCCATTGTAATGTTTTCATTTTCTCAATCTGTTCCTCTTCCAATATGATAACTATGATGATAAATTCTGTAAAATTTTGTTCTAAATTTTGTTTATTTTTCTCCCCTAAATTTTAGACGTGATATCGGCTTAAATATAACCCAAATATTGGATTCATTTTTCTCAAGTGGTTATGATAAAAGAGTACGACCCAATTATGGTGGTCCACCAGTTAAAGTTGGTGTTACCATGCACATATTAACAATTAGCTCAGTATCGGAAGTTCAAATGGATTTTACAACTGATTTTTATTTTCGTCAAATTTGGAAAGATCCTCGACTTTCCTTCAAAGCAAGACCAGGTATCTCACAGATACCGGTTGGTGCTGAAGTAGCCGATAAAATTTGGGTACCGGACACTTTTTTTGCTAATGAAAAACAAGCCTATTTCCACGAGGCCACAACCAAAAATACCTTCTTACGGATAAGTCATGATGGTCAAGTGTTTCGGAGTATCAGGTAAAAGAAAATTATTATTTATATTATTTTTTTTATGCTCCCTCTTAATCCTCTTAATCCCCTGAATGACCACTTTCTTTCTTAATCTGCAAACAAGAATAGAATAACTTATTTTATCCCACTTTTCTCTCTCTCTCTCTTTCCAAATTATCCAATAGGTTAACGGTAACTGCAAGTTGTCCAATGAATTTACAATATTTTCCAATGGACAGACAAAAATGTAACATTGAAATTGAGAGTTGTAAGTGAATTTCAATTATCTTTCCCAATGATTAACTTAATTACCTTTACTGATCACCAATTAACTGTACTTGTTTGCTATTTATCTTCTCATTTGTAGATGGATATTCAATGACGGACATTATTTACAATTGGGTTGATGAAAATGCTGTTAGAATTGATAGTAATCTAATGCTTCCTCAATTTTCAATTGCCAGTAAACGTCAAAGCTGGAAATATGTACATTTAAGTACAGGTAAGTGGACCAATTAAAACAAATTACTGACCATCATTTGCCTATTTTCAATACTCGATAACCTTCAGTGTAAACATTAATCACTTACTCAATCCATTGGATTATATAAAAAAAGTCAACATCTATTAGACCAACAAGTTCAATTTAAAATCCCTTAATCAACGATAATTACAATTACTCTACAAACTATTTGAACAACTTGTTTCTCCCTCAATTCATTAAAAAAACAAACATCACACCTTTCAACTCAATTAATTGAGATTCAAGTTTAATTAATCACTATACTAATTTGATCAATAGAGTTATATAAGATGTGTTGTTTGATTTCAACAAATATCTTCCATTGATTATCTCAATTGAATTTTAATATTTTTCTTTTCTTTTCAATTCTTCTATTCTTAGGAAACTATTCTCGTCTCATGTGTGAGATCCAGTTGATTCGTAGTATGGGCTATTATATGATACAAATCTATGTTCCAGCAAGTTTAATTGTGATCATCAGTTGGGTATCATTTTGGCTTCACCGTAACGCAACTCCAGCTCGTGTCCATTTGGGTGTAATAACCGTTTTAACCATGACCACCTTAATGTCAAGCACAAACTCCCAGTTACCAAAAATATCTTATGTTAAAAGTATCGACGTTTTCCTTGGGACTTGTTTCGTTATGGTTTTTGCCGCTTTACTTGAATATGCGGCTGTTGGTTATATTGGTAAACGTATATCTATGAGAAAGAATCGTTTCCAACAATTAGCCAAAGCGGCTGAAGAGAAAAGACGTAAATTGGTTGAAGCGGCAGCCGCTGCTGCTGCAGCAGCGGCGGGATGTACCACTGCAGCTGAAGCAATTCATCACTCATCGGGTGACCAATCAATCAGTTTGAGTGGCGCTGGTGGTCATCATACAAATAATTTCAATGTTACTAACGCTAATACAACAACCACAACCACAACCAATAATAATAATACGAGTAATAATATTAGTAATAATAATAGTGTGAATATAAATAACAATAACAATAATAACATGTTAACATCAACAAATGCCCCTACAACAGTATCCATTGTACCTTCATCAGTGACCGGAACTGTTGGTGTTGGTGCTTCAACATCAACTGCCTCATCATTTCAACATTTACAACAACAACAACAACAACAACAGCAACTATTACTACATCATCATCATCATCAACAAACAGGACAAAATCCTGTTGATTCAGCCTTGCATGGAAGTAGCCTAATTAGTAACAGTGTTTGTAGTGCAAGTGCCAATGTGGGTGTTAATAGTGTACCGAAACACCAACAACACCAACACCAACAACACCAACAACAACATTCTCATCAACATCATCGTTCACAATTTCAACATCAACAATCAATTGGAACCTTAACAAGTGTCTCTAATTTAGGTGGTGGACTAAGTGTACCTTCAGGTCTAGTTACTTACGATTCGGGTGGTTTAGTTAGTGGAGGTAGTGGGAGCCTCATGATGAATAATCCAGGTGAACTAATCAATTGTGGTGGACATGGAGGGTCAATGGGATCAATGCCATTGGGATGTTCAAGGGATGATCAAGATGAAACATTAATAACCCATGTTGGTCACTATGCTACTCTGAGACGACCCTTATTAGAAAGAGGTGGCTCTGTGGGATCAACGTGTAGAGCATTGGCCAGTGGTCAACAACAAGGAGGAGGAGGTAATGTTGGTGGTGGAATGGGAGCATCACAAGGTGTACCAGCCTCAAGTCAGAAACAATTTTTAACTCATCGACCTCAGGTAAGCTCGAAAAACAATTTAAATATTTTTTTAAACACATTATTCATTCATTTATATTTACACAATCGTTTGTTTGTATTTGCTTAAGAAAAAAACTCCAATATTATCTAATGTTTGCTCCCATTCGGTGAAAAAATGATACATTTCTTTTCATCTTAGTGAAGAAAATTGATCAGGATTTTATCAATTATCAAGCATTTTGCTCTTCAAATTCAATTCTTAGCTTGTTTGCTCAATAATTGTTTGAGTTTTTCTCTATTCTTGTAAAGTTTTCACAATTCACATAAAAATTGATCTAAAAAAAGAAGAAACAAAAAAGAAATAAAGAAAACCAGGAAACAATAGAATATCTATCATGAACTTGAAAGATTATTTTCCAATTTCAAGAAGAATAAGAAAAATAATTCTTGGAAAATAGTAAATATCTTTAAGATTTTTCTTTTCATTTTTTTTCTCCTCTCTTTTTTTCTATGATAACTTTTCATTCAATGTTCATATTTTTCTCTCTCTCTCACCATGAACATCATGTTCCAATTGGTTATTTTCATTTTCTATCGATAGTCAATTGAGTGAATGTATTGTAAGGTTTCACTTAAACAACATCAATTGGAAAATATTATTTCAATTTGTTTACCTGTAAAAGTCAAATGTTAATCATAAACGGACTCGATATTATTTCATATTACATTTATATTGTTTATTTTATCATTTCAAGTTTGTTGTCTTTTTTCGAGAACCAAACAAAAAATTTGAACTGTTCAGTAAGACGATAAAATTGCAATATATTTAGGTAAAGCCCCGAAACCTATTGAAATGCAAACAATTATCTCCGATAATCATTTGCAATTAAAAGATGTAACTTTTACTGATTCTCTCTCTTTTTTTAAATTCTTTTCAATTGATTTACTACCAATTTGATTTGAATCTCCAGGTTAATACTTGTATATAGAAATGAAGTATTGAGTATGAGATAGAGAGAGAGAAAGGCAGAGTGAGAAAGTGAGAGTGGGAATCTCAGGGAGGTAAAACATAAGCTTACTACCTTAAACTTGACAACAATTGATAAATTAAGAGAGAAAGAGAGAGAAAGATACAGATTAAGTTGGTGTATTGATCATGGTGGAAATGTTAATACTCATGATGAAGAATTGGAAAAAATTATTTCATGATTATCGTAAAGTAAAATCGTCTTGTATCAATGAAAATTCTGAAACTGTTCACTATCAAAGTCAGTGTTAATCATCCATCTATTCTGTTTCCGTTTTCGTCTTTTTCCTGTTCATCTTCATCTTAATTTCAACTTTCTCACAATCAGTCTTCAATAAGGTTTCAATTTAAAGTACAAAGAATAACCCATCCAACCAAATCTTTCCGGTTGATAGACAAAAAAATAACCTACAAAACTACACTTTGTTACCTTGACAACCTTTTTTTTCTCAATTTCTATCTCCCTTGCTATCATCCTTTACCCTGCAACAAAACCCACCGTTTCTAACAATCATGTTAATGAACAAGAACATAACCAATGAAACACCATGTAGTGTCTTAAGTACAACAGTTGATCTTTATCAAGGAATCAGGAAGAAATGATTTTCAATCTCTTTGTAAATTCTTGATGAAAACTTTGCTCATTCTCCTGAGTTTATATTAATACATTTTAAACATGAGAAGGAAAAACAATTGGTCATCACAAAAATATCATTACTTTCAGATTTTTTTCTTCTTCTCATCTTCCTCATATAAATTATCTATCATTTATCTGACATTCTCATGAATTTTCAATCTCTGTCAGATTTCATTTGAAACTTATCACAAGTAATCACAAGTATCTTTCATGCCCATGACTGAGTTTGTCATCTAATGAACAGAAAAAGATGACCATCAAAGGGAAGATGGAGAGAAAAAATCTAAAATTCCAATAAATTACTACAAATTTTTCTTCGTCTTCAGAGATGAGAAAAATTTGAGTCAAATGAATCCATCAAATTATTACCATGATATCAACTTTATTTCTTCCAAGGGAGCGAAAATTCTGGTTTATCCTCAACCATCTTACCTTTCAATAAAATGTTACCTTACGAAATGCATTTGAGAAAATAAATTCAACTCGAGTCCACCCTGAAAGTGTTCAGAATATTGCAAAGTAGGAATCGTAACGTAATCACTGTAAATTGTATTACAGATTTACTGAAATATCCAGTCTCATGCTCTTTTTTCACCAGTTTCCTTTCCACTTTTCATCGAATTTAATATAGAAATAGATTGAGGAAGAGATAGAAAGAATAACTCCTCTTCATCAATTTCTATCAAGCTCATCATCTTCTCAACCCAGTTCACATAAACACACACACATACACTCCCAACACTCATCACCAATGGACTACATCAATCAAATAAACCATCGTGCAAGGATGTTGATGTTTTATTGAAATTCCTCAAATAACCTTATCCAACTACCTTTTTTCGCCAGTTTTAACCTCATTCATATCATCAACCTTCATCATCCTTCCAACACACCATCAAAATCATCTTTCTCTCAATCTTATTCTGTTTTTGATCCAATTTTATCTTCAATCTTTTTTCTGATGTCATCTTTTCTTTGCTCCATTTTCTTACCTTCTTCAACCCATTCACAATTGCATATCGATAAAATTTCATGTATGAATTTATATCAAACTCTCTCTCTCTCTCCGTCTCACACTCACATTCATACCTTTGGTGATTTCCCATCTTTATGATTTAATTCAATTTCGCCAATAGTGTTGATAGAATTTTCCTGAACAAATTTTTCAACTTATCAAACAACCTAATCATTTGTTTTATATTATGTTCATCATGATAATAATACATTGAAAATTTATCTTTATTCAAAATTTTCTCCTCTTCTATTGTATTTTTATCGATAATATCACAGAATTTATATCAGTTCCTCCACTTACTATTGTTTTCCTCCTTTCCAATAAATAATATTATCTTGCTTAGTATTAGATTTCACTCTTCATTATATAGTAAAATTTCACCATGGTAACTTTATTTTACTTATTAATGTTCACTCATTTTCTTATTCATTGTTTTATTTACCGTTTATAGTGAAAAGTATTGAAAGAATATTTCTTTTTATATATTACAATAAACTTAATCATTTAATCAAATTAAAATCATTAGATGATTTATCATCTTTTCCATTCGCTACAGTAATTTTAATAATTGATATTTATTGAGCATGGAAATGAATCGATTTTATTGAATTTGTTGGAACTATGAATTTGCTATCATGAAATTCAGTTGAGTAAAATTATATTGTCACAGATTTTGAATGTTTCTCATTGTGAATGAATTTTTTATCTCATATTTCTCTCTCTCTCTCTCTCTATTTATTTATTGTCTGTTTACATATAAATAGTATCAGTTTTGTCAGGATTCGACATCATCAGAATTTCATCATGATTTACATACATTATTATCATGATAATGGTGATCATTTTGATGATATCGTCATTATTTCCTCTCTCCCCATTTCTAAGACGAAACATTTTATCCTTTTCGATCGTCTCCCGCTTCTCTCTTTTTTGAATATAATCTCAATTCTCAGTCCATTAGCTATTGAATTGATTTGTTACCATTCCCATTGACTGACAGCATCATTTATTCCTGTGAATAGTTTTATAATGAAGAAACTATTAGAAGGAGGCGTAAAAAGGAGAGAGAGAGAGAGAGAGATTATAATGATGACGCTTGTATGAGAGGCATAAAAGATGAGATAAAGGATAAGATGAAGAGTAGAGGTAGGAAGTAAATAGAATCTGTGAAAAAAACATATTTGTAACTATTTGTGTCAAATTGCTCAGAATACATTATTATCTTCCATTGATCATTTTTTCTTGTTTCGAATCTCTCACTTTTTTTCTGAAACAGAAAAAAAACTATCCAGAATCACCTCATCTTGTACCTTCATCTGCATCATATTTCTCAATTTATCACGTCTAAATCATCTTTTGTCTTGTGACGATAATAATAATAGTAATGGAAGAACTCATAATAATCCAAATGGTGATTACTATTCATAAGAAGAATCAAAATTCTCATGTTTATCATGGAAGATGCAGTAAAAACATAAGAATAAGTAGATGAATTGGTGAGAATTTTTCATCTCTCCTTCCAATCCATCAGAGTGATGATCATATGAGACATTTTTCTCCATATTTCTCATGATTCTGTATTAATATAAGCTCTTAGTTTTGGAAATCCATCGATTCTCATAATCTTTATCTTTATTGTTCTTATTTAATTGAAGTTCTAATGAAAGATGGAAGATATTTACGAAAAGAAATTCATATTTAATCCTAGAAAATGACAGTATAAAACGTGAACGATGATACAAATGCGAACGATAAATTTTGTAATATTATTATAACAATTTAATCCATTCATAATTATAACAACAGTCTTGATTTTCAGAGGAAATTTTCATGTTTCTAGTAATAAACTGCAAGTTTATTTATGCAAAGGGTTATCATTAAGCTCATCCAATTAAAAGGTTTATATCTCCCTTTTTATCATGAATTATTACCGCTTTATATTCATTTGAATTCAGATTCTCACAGATTTTGAGTCTTTTGTTGAAAATAAATAACTATCATGAAGCTTGAAACAAAAAAAAAGATAACAAAGTTTTCTGTTAATATTTTCATTAATTAAAATACTCATTATCTAAATAGTGATTACAAACTCACAGTTAATTCACTTCTTACCTTAAATATCAATAGTTTATCATTGAACTTGAAAATTTCACTATCTCATTTTGTTAATAATTAGATACTCAGTTTGTTTGGTTTTCATTTGAATTTATTTAATCAACATTATCAACTAATCATTTTTTTACTATTATAATACAATAAATGTATTATTAACCATCATGATGGACACTGATTACAATACCTTAATTTGTTTTATTAAACACTAGGAGAAATAGAAACTAATTATCTATTTAAATTATACATTGTATTGTATTCATTTCGTAAACCCAGGTCTGAACATTAATTCGAAGTCAGATTGATATCTTTTTGATGATCTTTTGCTTTAAATCAAATCAAAGAATTGACATGATTTAATTTAAGTACTTAATTGGGCCGTTTTTTTATAAAATCAAATGAATTTTGTTTTTCTCTGGCAGTGTTGTTCAGACGATAAAAGACTATTTCAGTTTTTTTTTCTCAAAATAAGTTGAGAATGAAATGAGTTTTTATGGATAAAATCAGCAATTGCTCTTGGTGAGTCTCTTGATTCACCATTATCATAATTTGTAATCATTGTTTTTTTTGGTTTTGATATGTCTATTTACTGTTGGACAGATTTAATTGAAGTCAACAGGAATCATAAATGATCTTAGATGATCAGAATTCCCAAAATCGCATCATGTTCATCAACATCCTAATACAAACAAACAATGAAAATGTTTTGCTTGTTTTTCCATCTCTTCTCCCTTGTTGTTGATTCTTGTTTTTTTCCTTTATTTTCCACAACCATTTTGCTAAAGCAAAAAAAGGCGGGATTCAACAAACAGAATTTATCATTGGTATCATCATCATCTTGTTCTTGGTCATCATCATGTTCATTCTTTCTCAGATCATTCTTATTTTTTTTTGTGATCATTTCAAAATATTTACTATCAGAATCTGCACTTTATCTCTTTCTCTCTCATTTTTCTTTCTTGCTGTTGGTCACTTCAATTTCATCCTCAATCCTCTGGCTTAACATTTTTTCATGATAATTCCAAGATAGTTATAGCCTGAGAAAGACTAAAAAAGTTTAGCTTATTTAGAGATCTGAAAAGCTCCGATTTTGTACTCGAAAATCATTGAAAAAAATAATATAAAAATATCATCAAACTGTTAGTGACACTTTGATAAATGCTGATTGTCCATTTAGTCAGAGTATAAAAAAAAGTAAAGACAAACCATTAACATCCTAATCATTTCAGCTTGACCATTGAAACAAACAAATGAACTCTCTGAATATTATCAAGCCTTTAATAGTATATAAGTAGTTTTTGTTCAAACAGAAAGATGATCATCTTCAATGTATTAATATTTTATTATCTAACTATTATCAATCCCAATATCATTACCATTATTATACTGTCACCATAATCATTAACATTAGTTTATCCTTAATGATTATCATACGAAATATACCTTAGACTAAAGTTATTTATCTTGTTTCACAACTCGTGGTCATTTATAACGGTCAAGTAAAGATAATATCTCGAACCAAGTTATATATAAAACTGCATTAGTTATTATTAATAATACATAACCAATTTTTTTTGCTTTCATCAGAAATTGTAGTAATAATAACACAAATTCAATGCTTAATCTTTATGATGTAATCAGCTGATTACGATAATTATTATCATCAAGAAAATAAACCCCACCCAAGTGTAATATTATTATTTTCAATATGCCAATCAACAAGTTCTCAATAATCTCTCTCATCAAGTTGATTCTCATATCTACCTTTTGATGAAATTAATCATATCATTGGTTTAATGATCATGATTTTCTTTTCCTTCATCATTTTTCTTCCTCTTTCATGATTCCCTAACCTACTACTACAATTTTCAGTAGCAAAAACCGTTTGTTATTGATGATAAATCACTTGGATAGTAAAGCAAAAAAAAAATAGGTAACACCAGTTTCCAACGATTCAGGAAATGGATTTTCGAAGTATAAAATTGTTTGTTGACTTAATTTTTCCATTCTCTTTGGTTGATTCAGTTTCCCCTGAAATTGTTTAAACTCAGTTATTATTGATGCTTTTTTTTATCGTATTCAGAACAATAAAAAAGATTTTCATTTCTCACAATGATAATGATAATCATTGAATTCAACGGTACTGATGATGAAGCTCAGAGATTTTAAACTTGCAACAATAGGAAGTAAATTGAATTGAAAAAAACCTTCGTTAATTGCTATTGAGTTTACTTTTGGAAGAAGGAAATTACAAGTTAAATTGCTAATTGCGAATGTAATTAACTAATTTTGCAAACTTTCAATTTCAGAAAAATTGATCGAAAATTTCATTAAAGTTTATTCAGTGGACGATTAAAATTTTAGGACAAATTGAATCAGCCAATGTAATTCAGAACATTGAATTCTCAGAGTGGATAGTTAAATACCAAATTATCTAACTACTAAATTATCGGGCTACTCAACTCACATCCATAACCGATTCGAACTATTCATGATCGTGATAAAGATGGAAAATTCTGTCCCTAGTTGACTGCTGATTTTATTTGTGATTCTAACCGAAATTCATAATAGCTAATCGTTATTTTTTTTTTGGTGAAATTAATAACCAAATTTTGACGATGATTAAAGTTCCAACTCAATGAATATCCGCCATGAATAATGGAGGTAGCCTTACGTGAACTTTTACCTATGTCTTATTGTAAAGAGTTGATAGAATCTCACCTTTCCCATTTTATCATTCAAGTCGCAATTTTGTTAATTTTATCCAATTTTTTTATCTCATCATCTTCATAGTGATTCCAATCCAACTATTGTTTCAGTTTCTATTGTTTTTATCATGGTATTCTCATGAGTCTCTGCCACTTTCCACTCACATTAACATTCATTATTTCACCTTCTTAACGTTAACCATTGACAATTGACTTTTAACCTTTATTATTATCATTGTTATCATTACAAACAATTACAATTAAGAGTTGATTGACTTTTACTTTTCGTTGTTATTAATGTCACAATTTTATCATCATCATTATATGTATTAGCTTTGACAATTGTAACATTTAATTGTTAGTGAGATTGAAGAGTACAAAAAAAATATTGCTCATAATCATCAATCGTTATTGTTGACTATTATATCTAAGG